ACATATTGTGGCGAGAGCAAGGTACTAATACAAATCACTTTTTTTTTTTTGTATTTTTTCAGTATGACAGTGAAATGTTTGTCTCTTGTGCTATGTACATATTTATTGTTCATAGACTATAATAATTATCCTCCTCCTTGCAGCACTTGGTGGGTTTGATTTAACTGACTTGATAAAGTTTCCAGCCAATCAAACTGTCTGCTGTTGGAATTGATCCTTTTGTATGAATCATTCTTATTTGTGAACGTTACCATCTTAACAGTTTCATTCATGGAATCACAGAATGCTGAAGGTTGGCAGGGACCTCTCGAGGTCATCTAGTCCAACCCCCTGCACACGCAGGGTCACCTAGAGCACGTGGCACAGGACTGCGTCCAAGCGGGTTTGAAGATCTCCAGAGAAGGAGACTCCACAACCTCTCTGGGCAGCCTGTTCCAGGGCTCTGGCACCCTCACTGATAAGAAATTTTTCCTTAAGTTCCTGTGGAACTTTTGGTGTTTCAGTTTCCGGCCGTTTCCTCTAGTTCTGTCGGTGGCCACCAGTGAAAAGAGGCCGGCCCCATCCTCCTCACTGCCTCCCTTGAGGTACTTCTAGACACTGCTCAGGTCCCCTCTCAGCCTTCTCTTCTCCAGCTGAACAGGCCCAGCTCCCTCAGTGAGTGAGGAACTTGTTTCTTAGTGAGACATACGCTCAAGAAGGGCTTCTGAGTTTCTGACGTCTAAGTTTTGGATCTCTCAAGGATAAATACAATACAGTATTGTATATTACTAATATAGAAACCATGAAGTGTCTTTTGTCTTGATAAATGAGTTATTTTGATGTATGTGTTAATATTTGCCTATAGCACATGACAGAAATAAGTGTTACCATGAAAAAATACTAAAATCAAAGGGTTGGCGTGAGATCTCATCTCCTTATATAGTCTGATTTCAATTTAATGTTACTCTTCAGGAATTCAAGTATTTCATCAATAGGAAGTTTTTAGTTACTTCCACTGGAAGCTACGTTGTACGGAAAGTGGCTCAGACTTTCCTGTGAATTCATGGTGAAAACAGTTCGGCTGAGTGATTCTAAAAGATGTATTTTAAATTAGTTGCAAGATTTAGAAATTGATATTTGATTTGCTTAGCAATCTTTGGCATTTTCCAGTGCCTTTACAAATAGGGAGAACTAGGGTTTTGGATATTCCTCAGCTGGTAAGCAAATCAATTCTTAACTATAGTGGAATAGTGGAGCTCACCTATTATCTTCCTGCTGTATTGGCTTTGCAGTGTTCTTTGTTCAGAGCTGTGTACCATTCAACTATTAGGATTAAGGAAGTATAATATAAGTTTCTAATTTTCAACTATATGGCATTTTCACTGCTTATAGAGGTGTTACTCCAAGACTTCTCTTGTGTGAGAAAAGAGAACTGAAAACATTGGCACTCCAAGAATTTTGGAGGACTATTTTTTCAAGCCAAGTCCTATGATGCCTTCAGTGATTATAAAGCACTTTGGAAAATTTGAGATTTGTAGCAATAACGATTGATTAAAATAGTAGTTTGCCATGGTACTTATGAATGGAAAGAGATTTTCTAATTTTATGAATGCCAGTTTCTCTGTAACTGTTGGGGAGTTGAAAGGAAACTAATTCATACTAGGGATCAAGAATATGAAGCAGCAATGTCCTTTGCTACCGCAAATCTTGGTCTCTCCTATGTTTCTTCTTAGCAAACCCATTACAGTGAATGTTTTGACTAGTTGCAATGATGGATTTCCTTTATAAGAAAACAATATCAGGAAAATGCCAATAAACATCAGCACTAACTCCTGTAGCAGATAATCTTTGTCATTTTCTAGTATATAAATATTGACAGAAGAGAGGGAAGGCTGAGTAGTCGGACAACTAAGGTTGGCAAACCTTAGATTTGTTTTAATGTCTGCAATATATATGAATATGTATGTCTATTTGTGATGTACAGGAAAGCCTTGTCACAACCAGTTGCTTGTGTAAGTTAAGAGAATATGTGCCCGAAATTCTGAAAAGATTTTGAAGGAGCTTTATAAATTACAATAATAACATGTATATAAATATTAGTATAAATATTAAATTTATATATAGTATATATATACTATATGTACTATATATAAGTGTATATATAGTGTGTATATATACTAATTAAAAAATAGTATAAATATTAAATAAATGTACGAAATCAAGCACATCATCATTTTTTTTTCAAACCAGTGTCAGCTAGTTTTAAACACAGATTCACATTTGTCTGCATGCAGCCAATATTTTTAAGTATATTATTGTTATTTAGCTGCCATATTATGGAAGTGCTCAGGATTTTATCTTTTTTTTTTTTTTTTTGGTTTGGGGGTTTTTAAGTTCCTAAGTTCATTTACTTTCTCAAAGATAATTGAACTTACTTTTTCTGTGCCTGAGCTGACAGCTTTATGCATCTTACTGTCTTTTAAAGGACTGTAATATCTCTGAGGTTCTTAATGTGGATTAGGAATCTATAGTTAGGGGCGAGGGGCGCATGTGTATAGGCATATACACACATGCATGCAGCTTTTTTTTCCCCAAATGCATTAACTTATTGTTTTTGTTATTTTGCCTGATATTAAGGTGCCTTCTCTCTTTATTAAAATAAGTCCTGCTTGAGAATTCAGTACTCCCCCATCTTCCTGTAAATACTGTTACATCCATGGAAGTCTAGGTAATGCACCAGGAGGCACCTACATCCTTATTACTGTAGTCTCTAAGCTAGTTGCCACAATTTATTTAAAAGATAATTTTATGAATACAGTGATAGTCTTCTCCAGAGATTTTTGCAAATACTATCTGATCATTATAGCATCCATGATCAATAAATGTTATTTTAATTGGCACATGGAAAACTCAGAAGAATGGGTGATACAAGACCGCAGATATGATACCTGGTGCTACTGTTCGAGGCAGGAAGCATCATGCCTCTTGTTCAGCAACACTGAAGCATTTGTCATACTGGAGACTGGAGCATTTGTCATATGAGGAAAGACTGAGTGAGCTGGGCTTGTTTAGTCTGGAGAAGAGAAGGCTGAGAGGAGATTTGGTCAACATGTTCACGTACCTGAGGGGTGATTGTAGGGAGGATGGGGCCAGGCTCTTCTCCATGGTGGCCGGTGACAGGACGAGAGGTAACGGGTACAAGTTGAACCCCAGGCAGCTCCACCCCCATGTGAGGAAGAACTTCTTTGGTGTGAGGGTGCCCGAGCCCTGGCACAGGCTGCCCAGAGAGGCTGTGGAGGCTCCTGCTCTGGAGATCTCCCACCCGCCTGGATGGACCCTGTGCCCCTGCTCTGGGTGTCCCTGCTGGAGCAGGGCTTGGACTGGGGGATCCCTAGAGGCCCCTGCCAACCTCAACCATTCTGGGATTCTGTGATTCCTTCCATTACTGCAGCTGCCAAACTACAACTTACATCTCCAGATCTGTCTTTATAAGACTTGCTTGCAGAGCAAGCTATGTGAAACATAACAGTTTTGTTTTAGTTATTCTTAATAATCTCATAAAATTATCTGTGTTAACAGTATGCACGGTGACAAATTCATCTCATACCAGTCTTATGATGGCACAACTTCAACAAGAACTTATTTGTTTGTTTTAACGATGATTTAATTTTATACATTTCAATGTTGTTTTTGTTCCTAAGGTCTTGGAATTGGAAATATGTTTTATGTTTTTTATGAAGATGGAATCAAAGTAATACAGCCAGTGGAATGTGAATTTCAAAGGCATATTAAGCCAAGTGAAAAACTCCTCGGTTTTCAGGCAAGTCTTTTTTTTTTTAATTTATTTATAGAGTTTTCTCAATCTTTAAATCAATTTACTGTGTTCTATTTGATAAATTCGGACATGTCTTATTAATTAATAACTATTTTAATGGTATTTAAAATGGTATTTCTAAATATTTTTAATATTTTTTAATTTTTAATAATATTTTAAAATGGTATTTTTTTAAAAAAAATCAAATTCCAACTCTCAGTCTCTCCTTCAGAGCAAATATTCCCAGTGCAATGTGCATTTCTACCCTTACTTTTCTTTATCTGTCTCTCTTTTCCTAGTCCTTTGTGTTAACAGCTCTCTGTCATCATCTCTTCACTTGAGATTTTTGTTTTCCCAGCTAGGTGCATGCGTCTCTATGAATCACACACTGATACTGTGTTAAACAAAAGATCTAATTTTTTTTTAATAGTGTCTTTTACGCCATTAGTTACTCATTTATATTTTTCTACCATGAATTTTGTTTTGTTTGTCTATATTAAACTATTCTCATGAGTCCCATTTCGTAAGCTGATAAGCATTCTTACAGCTAGTAAGTTAGTAGAGATGATTGATGCTTTGAATCAAACTTGAAATTCATTAAGTACTTTCAATAAATTTACTGCGAATATATGTTTAGCTGATCTCACCAAATTCCTTGCATTTATGCAATACAGTTTCCATGTGTAGTGTTATGTACAATGGTAGTGCACTTTCTACTTCCTTTTATTGTTTTGTTTTTGCTGTATTGCCAGTCAAATTTCTAGGTGTTCTTATATGGACACTTGGATACTGGTCACCCCATTAATACCTTTCAAAAATATTTTTTTCCTCATTGAATTTGCATGAATGCCCTTGGAGTGAGAACCGAAGTATAATAATTCATGAACTGTACACGTATTTTTTCCCTAGAACCTAAAGATTGAGGAGTAACAATAGAACCGTCTCAATAGAATTTGATTTTTCAACTGTCGTTATTGATGTCAAAGGCTTACTCAACAGAAAGATTTATTTTAGTATGAATAATTATCCTTTGAACTGCTAATCATGCCTTGATTTGTGCTGCTTAAGTGAAATTAGGTTGACACAACCAAAAATAAGCCCAAGAGCTTTCCTATGGATGGTAGCTCAAAAGGTGATTCTTTCTCTTCTTTAAGAGGTTTATTAGAATTTTATTGGCTTAAAGTGAAAAGTAAGTGCAGACTGTATTTATTGAAATGTGGTGATAATCAGGATGGTTAAGTAAAGCCAATGGTAGACTTAATGCTTTTTATAACTTTAAAACCTAAACTAGTATGGTAGTTAAGCCCCTGTATTCCACTCCTCTGAACCTTCTGTACCTCCTTCTGTACCTTCATGCATGTTTTTTGGCCTATTAAATTCAATATTTCTGCTTATTCCCTGAATGTCGAAAATTTCCCTTACTTAGAGTAGTCTTCACCAAGCCTCTTTGGAAATATGCATTTTCTCTTTAAAAAATGTTCTGACTGAGGATCTCAGAGTTAGATTTTATTAAATTCATCTTATGATTATTAATTGATAAGAGTGCAAATTCTTTATTATTAATTCTTTTTGTTTCTCCTGTCGTATCATTTTGCTAATCAGAGGTTTTGTTGTATTTCATATTTTCACATTGCTCTATGTATCGTTTCATACCTGCGGCACTTATCATTGATAAAAATCTCCAACACTTAACTCCTACACCTAATTGCGATTGTTTCATACTTTAAAATTCTTTTGATTCTTTTGACTTTTCTAATTTAGCTACTCATATGTTTAGCAAAACATCAGTAGGACCATTTTATTGTCAAATATTTGCTATAGTGCAAGCACAACTCTAAATGGTGCAGCACAGTTTATGTACTGGGTGTGATATATACATCATAGTGCAGCGTTTATACCGCTTCTCAACAAAATAAAGTTTTGGAAAAAGAGGGAACTCTGGAAAAGAGGGAACTGAGGTGTTTCGAGGTAGGATTGAGTTATGTCGTGAATGAATGTTGCTGTAGTTGCATATGTATGCAGTTGGGTATGCTCATTTTGATAAAGGCAAATACAATTTCTCCATAAGTATAAACTTGAGAACCCTTATCTAATTATTTAATTGCCTCTTATGCAACCAAGTGTCAATAGAGCAAAGCACTTTAGCGTGTGCCTAACAGGAGAATCAATTAGACTCCTGCCAGGTTTAAACTGACGCACGGGATCCCACGCTTTACTGGATTACCGTGGAATCTGATGGAAACTGTAAATAATTCCCATCTTCTTTCCAGAATCTTCTGAGTTAGTGGAATCTTCTGATTAGTATCAGATGAAAGTGGACTTTGCATAAGCTGTGAGGGATAGAAATAAGTTTATATCCTTTTCCTGATTCAAGTTATTGTTTAGCATTAACAGCTGTTCATTTAATCTGTTGTCAAATAGATTCTTAATCGTGCTCCAAGTGGAATGTTTCAGCATTCAGCGTTTCAGTGTTGTTGGATAGTATTGTTCACTAATTGTTCACTACCAGGCAATAGCTGTTTATCTTCTGGAAATTAAGGTTATTCAAAGTCTGCAAATTCTAACTTACATGAAAAACAAACAAAAAAACAACCTTCTTCTCTGCAAGTGAATATCAATTTAAAAAATTATTACTGCCAAAGCAAACAAATAGTAGTGACTGAAAAAATGTGCTTGTTGATACCAATGGCAAACCTTCCATGGGATTTCAACAAACCCTGATTTCCTCTTTATCACAACAACTGCATGTTGGCCATATTTCAGTAAAGCGTGTGCTAAAGGTGGGACCAGCACACTCAATTTCAAAATAGAAATGTTTATTTTGAACTAGTGGTTGTTCCATCCTATCATTCCAACAACAGCATCTCAAAGGCACCCGGTATTATATGCAGCAAATATATACATTTATATTTTAAGTTATATAAAGATAATAAATTCATGTGTGTATATATTTAAGTATATATAATATGTTATTATGATACATATAAAATGTATTTTATAAAAAGCTATAAACATATTTATTTATATTCTACATAAAGTTGCTCAAGAAACTTGATTTGAGATCGTGATTCTGTCCTCTCAAATGGCTACATTAATCAGAGTCTATTTAACACTGTATATGTCATGCTACTGCTTACTAGTTAAGATTATACTAACTTCCTAGATGGTTATGTATGTAATTGACACTTTTTTTCCAGGGCACTGGAATGTTTTGGGTCAATTACACTAGTTTTATTTTAAATATAAGGCCATATACATCTAATCCTTGAAAATTTTTCCAGTGTTTCCATATACTCAAATACAGTAGTGCTTTTCCAGATGTGAGAGATACATGCTATTTATTTCAAGTAGGAATCTTGAAAAACACATGTAACTATATGTGGAAAAATTAATTTCTTTGGAATAGTAAGACCTAATCAGAGAGAAGACAGATTATGTTTGTCTTAATTGTAGTATAAAATTATTGATGTGACTATATGGCAAAATTCCTGCAGGACAAGAGCTTGAAGCACACTAGATATTCCAAAGACATTTCCTTTGCACTCTTATCACACAGTAAACCTAAAAAATGCAAGATGGTTAATTTGCTGCTCTCTTTTTTTCTTTTTTTAAAGAAAAAGTGATGGATGATGATCCACAGCCTGATGTTTGCTGTAGAATTGCAGCAAGCAGACAGGAACTTAATATGGAATTGGTGGTGTAATAACACCTAATATATGTCCTGTTGTAAACTGTTCTTGTCTCAGATGAGCATAGCATAGATAGACTTTTTATTTTACTGCTCAGAGAGCTTGATTGAAATTTATGAAAACTCTGAGGACCTTTGCATTAATTGTAAGTTCATAAGTGTAGAATTTGGCCACATGATTCTATAAACATAGGTTTTCTTTTGAAAGAAATATCTTCCTCCAGGCTACCTTGAAAAGCTTTCTCCAAGGATTTGCTTTCTTCCATCTGTTGGCTTGATAAAGGTTTGAGTCACTTTTTGATTAAAAACTCATGGGGAATCAGCAATGAAATAAATTAATGTTTTATCAGATGTTATTTTTTTCAGAGTGAATAAACTAGGAAAAAAACAAAATGCTCACATTTTAATTAGAATAAGGAAATGATGTGTTTGTTCTTATATTTTAAGGAGAAATTGTTTTAACCAGTTACTCAACCCCTGGGGAAATTAATATAGAGCTTTAGGATTACTGCCTGAAATTTAAAAGAAATCCGTATTGTCTAATCAGACAAATGTTAACTTCTGAAATGCAGGATTTCATCTCCATTGATTGAAGCTATTTCTGGGACATCTAAATATATGTGAACTTGAATAAGTAGGGAAGCAACTACATAAACTGATTTAGTTTGGAGAAAAGAATGGATATGAGAATTTTAGTGCAACAGGGATTTTACTGTCATTTCAAAGTGTGTTTTGGAGGAGTTTCTTAGGTTTTTGGAGCAGAATGAGATTTGGAAATTTATGAGAATATTTTAGAACCAGTAAATTGTAGTTGTATTTGTAATTTTTTCTCTATTTTTGATTTTGGTATGAAAAACTGTGGTGCTTTCTACTTGCTAAATTTAAAGTGAAGCAAGTTTCTTGAACTCTCCATATTTTAAAAAATCATACCATTATAGTTTCAAAACAACAACAACAAAAATATTGCTTTTAAATTGAATGTCTATGTGGAAATAGACTTAAGTCACTTTTCAACACTCAGATTGAGGGAAAGATTTAAAGAGGTGACTTAATTTTGAATACTATTATTAGTGTTAATCTAAAATATTTTCCCAAAGTGGGGCTGTATTTTCTGTTTTTCCTCTTTACCTGCCTCTCCTTCATTCTGTCCTTATAGCTCCATTTTTGTATTTCTCCCACAACAGAGTAGAAAATACCATGCGATAAAATAACTGAGAGAAAAACAGGTTCCTTCAGTAGGATTTGGGGTTGTTTTTGCATAGTATGTTGAATGTGCCCTTGTAGAACTCACAGTACAAAAACTAGGGTGAATCCATAGGAGACATGATTGAAGGAATGTCATGCTATAGAGTTATGGTAAACACCTTCACATGCATTATTTGAAGAAAGGGTTCTCTGAGGAAGATTGGGGATGGTGTAGAGCAATCTAAAAGCAGTTGCATGTTTAGAGAAAACATGGAACTAAGGCAGAGTGCATTTATAATAAATAATAATTTGAGATCCATACTCATGCCATACACTAGGAATTAATGAGGATTTTTGAAGGTGTTCTTCTGGATGTCTTTGTAGTATTAGTGCTTATGGGATCAGGAAAATAACCTTCCAAATGAAGCAGCAATTGCACAGAAGGCAAATGACAGCAGATAATTGATCTGATGATTGCAGGTCGTGTTAGAGATGTGCTTGTTTATATTGGCACTTACTTTTTTCACAATGAAAAGCTGATGGCCATATTTAAGAATATATTTCCTTTATCACTATGCCTGTCATTTTGTAAAAACATATTTTAAGATTCTCCCCTTGAAGTGTGTTGCTTTATAACTGCAAAATAAATCTTCCTCTTCTTATTTATGTGTAAGTGCTGTTGGCACTCTTGCTTACATGCCAGCTCATGGTAGCTGAGTTTGGCACCTTTTCGTTATCAATGTGATTTCTGAAAGACCTTCTCTTTGTCGAGATTTAAGAATCCCACAGAAAGCAGTAGTGGCTATTGATCTGCTGCAAAGAAACTCCATCTGTTAGAGTGGAAATTGATTTATTTTTTATTTTGACTTATCAAGATTGAGTGTATTTCTTAAATGTACAGAGGCACAATGGCCAAAGGATGTTGCTGGTACAGAAAAGGTAGCACTAAAATACATCATCTGCTTCTTGAAAAAACATTTTGTTTAGTACTGAGTGTATTATCCTGTTCCTTTTAAAACTCTGTTGATGTACCGTAATTATTAACACCGTTGACGAGTAATGATGTTTCTGAGTGCTTTAAATTAAGCATTACAGATTTTCTTGAATATTATATGGTGAAATTGCCCCTGGCAACTACAGGAAGAAAAATAACAAGAAAAAGAGCAATAGGTCAGGAAAACAGAAATATAACATGTAATTTATATATAACAAGTAGAATATTTTTCAGGTCCTTGTTTTCACATAGAGCCACTGTAGTCCACTATAGGAAAAATCCATGCTATTTCATAAAAGGAGTTGCTAAATATGGTAATATATATATATAAGTAAGTATCTTTTTATTTATCTAAAATAAAATTTAAAGTATCTAACCAAACTTTTACTGGGAATAAATGGAAATAGATTGATAGGGATTATCAGGAGTTCAAATGGACTTTCCTAGAGTGTGTCTTTGAAAGACCAGATGCTTTCAGGAGGTCAGGAGTACTAAAATCTTCATGAATGTCTGGACCAGATCTGAAGAACTGGCATGTGGTTATCATGGAACTGCTTGTGAGTCGGGTGGTTCTTGCAACATGCAGTTTGGCCTAGAGTCATCCTTAACTATTTCCTTCCCTAAATTTTCTGAGATGAGGTCAGGAGTACTAAAATCTTCATGAATGTCTGGACCAGATCTGAAGAACTGGCATGTGGTTATCATGGAACTGCTTGTGAGTCATGTGGTTCTTGCAACATGCAGTTGGGCCAACCCCAGTCAGTGCCCTAGAGTCATCCTTAACTTTTTCCTTCCCTAAATTTTCTGAGGTTCATTTTTCAGAGTTAAACAGCAGGCAGGGAAGTGTGGTTGGTATTTCTATTGCATTGTTGACTGATTTGACTCCAATTTCTCTTACTCGTTGCCCGTTTCTATTGAATCGTAGGATGAAGTGTGTCCCAAAGCTGAAGGAGATGCTGCTCAGCGGTGTGTATGGGCGACTGCTGTTAATGTGAAAGACAAGTTCATTTATGCAACTCAGCCCACGCTTGACAGAGTGCTTATTGTGGATGTGCAGTCTCAGAAAGTTATCCAGGTACCTACGCCTAACTCTTAAATTAATGCCCCGTTTGGACACGAGAAATTCGTCTTTTCCATTGTTTCTGCCTTCTTTTGGCCTTTATTGGTAATTTCACTGGTCACTGTTCATGTAAACAGGCAATTTGCAGGGGAAAAAGCAAAACGAAAATAAATAGTAATCAAGTAGAGAAACAGCTCTTTGGAAAGTTTCTGATTTGGGGTAATTTTCAAATGGAGGTTACTGGAAATAGAAACTATGAGAATGCATCTATCAATTTTGACAGCAAGAATCATAAAGGCAGCTTTGGCTACACAAATTAGGAGACTTATTTATTAGGCTTTTGAGTAAAAAAGTAATACACATATGTATATACCATGAGATTTAATAGAGGTTTTGCATGAGGACAGGTTTTGTTCTATAGCACATGAAAATAGACTTAGTAATAGCTGTAAGCTCAGTAATATTCTAAAATTATATTTCCCAAGTATGATGAGATTATTATTTTTTAAATATTTGTGTTTACAAAGGAGATGGAAAAGGCAAAAACACAATATTTTTTGCTAGTTCAGTTTATGCCTAGTGTTCTCACCAACACATGACACACTGTATTCTTTTCTTTTTATCTCACACATACTTCAGAATGTATCTCATCATAAAGTCTGTACTGTTTCAGCCTGATGTCTTTTGGCCAGAAAGATTGGCTTTAATAATCACAAACCTTTGGTCTGAGACTGTCAAGTTTGAGTACTTTAAAGATCATGCAAAATACTCTTGAAATTGACTTCAAAAGCAGAGCTCTACTTTGTCTGAAATAAAATTATTTCCCAGGTAAGGAGCTCTGAAGTTGCTTAATGACTGTTCTTGATAACTTGTTAAAAATTCTGCTTTCATTCTCAGAAGAAAGGGCACTTATATGGGAAACTGATAAAGAGGATTTGACACTACTGTGGGAGTTCTGATTCAAGTTTTAATCATACAAACATGTCCAACATCTACAGGGCTATTTATAACAACATCCCAATCACAGGAAATAGATGTTCTTTAGCTAAGTCAAAAATGGATTTTTACAAGAATTTTAACCTAGCATACCATTAAATATATTAACATAGTTTTCTTCATGTCTTATGCCATTTTTTGCCTGAAAATGAATATAAACCCATTATGTACATATTTATCTTGGGATATTTCTTCTTAAATTCGTATTGCAATGGCTATATATTTAAAAACTACCTTAAGAAAACAAAATATATATTTAGATTCTTTAAAACATCTCTCTTTTCTAGTATTTTTTATTTCATTTGGCACATTAGATAAAACTTCTTTCAATAATTTAATGTGTCCGTTGGTGTCAGGGACTGATGAAATGTATTACACATTTCATTTTAAATGAAATGTTTTACACATTTACACAATTGAAAATTTCAGAATTTTTTTATTGTTTACTATTCTAGGTAAGTTGACAATAGTAAATCATATCAAGTAGAGATTAATTGAATGGATGATGAATTTTTCTGAAAATAAGAGGTTTTGCTATAGCCAATTTAGTATATTTCTTCAATAATGTTTCTAAAGGAGGAGAGACTTTATAAGAAAGCCTCAGAGCAAGAACTGCTGCCACTGCCAGGTTTGAATGAATGAAATGTATGGCAATAATTTCCCTGGCCTTTGACAGTCATTCATTCATCTTGTTGTTTTCTATATTTTCTTGTTTTTGATGGCTGAGATCTCTATTTAATCGCATTTAATAGCATTTAGACTTTAGTGGCAACAGCATGTTTTGCCTTTTGAGTTCAGTGAAACATGTCAGAGAGACTGGAAGTTCTTTTGCATTTAGGTTATATGGAGAAGTTTGGTAGACTCTTCAAATTTGCCTTAGGCTTTAAATTAATCAGTATTTTACCAATTACTTTATTTTACCATTCAATGCATGCTTACGGACAGTTACCATCAGAATATCTGTTAACTAAAAAGTAAAATTCAATAAGTTAGCCAATAATTAATATTATACCATTTGCAGAAATAAAGAAATCTATCTGTTCATGGCTGAAATTAGCTAGTTTGCACGTAGCCTGGTGCAGACATTGTTGCACACAGGTTTGTATGCTAATTTGTGCAGTAATTCTGTGCTCCTCAGCAAATACCGTGAACTAAAACCAATTACTCTACAAACCTTCATGCTGGTCCAGAAAAAAATGTATATATATTTTGAGGAATGGAATTGCATTGCTTGAAAGTATCCACTTGAAAGTATCCAGGCCATAAACTTACGGAAACATAGAATGAAATTCTATCCCATCTATGCCAACATTTTGTAGGAATGGAAGTCCTCAGTTAGATAGTTCTAGGACGTACACATTTTAATTAGACTTTTGCTTTCCGCTTCACAAATTGCAAATACTTGACACAGAAATTTAGTAAGACAATGTGTCTTTTGCATTTAGAAATTAACGTTAGATTAACGTTTGCTTATTTCGAGTGCTTTGTTTGTAGTGCTAATGGGTGGGTTACATCCAGCCAACGTTAGAGACAAAACATTAGGGACTAGGAGCAGCTGTTGGATCGTGGCTCCATGGAGCTGAGCATCCCGCTGCCTCCTGCCTGTGCAATCCCTCCTCCTCCTCCTCACCGTGCCACGGCCTGGACCCCAAAACCTGGTGTGTGGGCGCCCCACACCTTGGGTGGAGGGAGCTAGATGGGAATGTGACACTTGAAAACAAATCAATGCAGCAGCCCGAGTGTTATTGTAGACAACTCATCTTCTGACCTGCTGCAGGAATATGTTATCCAACACGAGTGACCTTTTTCCAGGGGTATCTTTCTGCTTTTCAATGAGCCGGTGAACAAACTGGCTTCGTTTTGCATTTCCAGAAGGAAAAAAAGGAATTTTGCCTAGATGAAGCTGTGGCTTGCAACACCTCAGGGGTACAGTTAAGTATCATCAGCAGTCTCAGCCAGCCATTAGTGCATTATCTTGAGGATCTACATCATTAGTTTAAATTAGGTTCACTTAATTAGCCAGCTGGTACTCTCCTTGACAAACTGGTAAACAAGCTGTGCTTTACAGTTCCATGATGGTGAGACTGAAAAACAATTTCCACCTGCAATTTTTTCCTACTGCAATGATGAAAATAGAAAGAAAATCCCTAAAATTATTTGCCTCACTGAGGAGATCTCTTAATCAAATATCCTGTGCTCCTGTTTAATACCTTTGAAATCTTCA